AGGAAGATCAAGGAGAAACTTTTTTGTATCAGCAAGAACCAAGCCAACAGATCTTGTGAACAAAAACTACAAAACTGTTTCTCCAGTTTTCCCTCTGTCCATGAGATTTTCTTTGTTTATTTGTCTGTTTGCATGTAAGTGAGAGTTTATAAAAGGGTTTAGATTTTTAAGTTGTAGAGCTTACTTAGTAGTTATCAGTTACTAGAACCTATATACCTATATTAAATAATGATTCTGGTTAAGTACAGAAACCTCGCCCATACTTTCTACTAATCTGGATATGAAAACTCAGGTAGTTTGTGGATGTTTTTGTAATTCTTCTAAAAACTTTTATGTTTTGTGTCAACTCGGGAATTAGCCAAATTAACCTAATTAGCCAAAGAACTACAAAGAAGACTTGGGCACCTAGTCAACAAGTCACCCCACTCTATCCACTCAGCCCAAGAATTCCTCAACTCTATCAAAGACATAAAGATAGAGGATGAAGAGACCATGATATTGTTTGATGTCACTGCCCTAGTCACATCAATAGACATACCACTAGCAAGGGAAACAATGACAACACTACTTGAACAAGAACACAACCCCAGTGAAACCATCTCCAAGGACAACATGCTCAAACTATTGGACCTATGCCTGACCACCCACTTCACCTTCAACGGCCAAACATACGAGCAAATCACAGGGCACCCATGGGATCGCTTATCTCCGGACTCATAGCAGAAGCAGTGATGCAAAGACTGGAAAGGACTGCCCTTCCGCAAATCCAATCTAAACTGTGGATACGCTACGTAGACGACACCTTTGTCATCATTAAACGGACCAAATTAGAAGAGACACACAAACTTATAAACAACTCACCAGAATAAGATTCACCAGGGAGGAGGAGAAGAACAAATGGCTCCTATTCCTGGACGTCATGGTAGAGCGCAAGACAAATGGGGAACTGCAAACGAAAGTACACCGAAAAGCCACCCACACTGACCAGGTACTGAACTTCAATAGTAACCATCCGAGCACACACACACGAAGCTGCGTGCGAACACTATTTAAAAGGGCAACAACACACTGCAGCAACATGGAACTATGCCAAGAGGAAGAAGAATACCTCTTCCAGGTTTTCAAGGATCATGGATATCCAAGGAACTGGGTCAGAAGATGCCTACACGAGCAGCATCAGAAAGATTCTACACGCCCCGACACACTCCTCATGCTACCTTACATTAGGAACACGTTGGAACTTACCACAAGACTCCTATGACCGCTGGGCATCAGAGTGGCACACAAACCCACATCAACCCTACGACAACTGCTCACCCGAACTAAAGCCCATGCCCCGCCGTGGACAGGACCAATGTCATCTACAAAATCGCCTGCAGAGACTGCGAGAAACACTACATCGGACAAACGGGAAGGAAGCTAACAACAAGAGTACATGAACACCAACTGGCTACAAAAAGACACGACCAATACTCACTCATCTCAATCCACGTGGACAAGGAGAACCACGACTTCGACTGGGACAACACCAAGATCCTGAGACAAGCACGAGAATTCCTGGAAGCATGGCACTCCCTGAAGCATGCTATTAATAAACACATTGAACTCGATCCCATATACATTCCACTACGAGGGAAACCCGGAGGCAATCCATCTCAATGGACCCCAGAGTTTAAAAACCAGGTGGGAAAACACACCGATGCTTCATCGGAGGCTGCACTGAGGATGTTACCGAGCACGGTAACGAAACGTCTGCAAAACAACAAACCAGCTTGGCGAGTTACAAATCTACTCCAAAACCTTAGAGCCATAGTATCTGTGATGTCACTGCCAGTGATGGTGCCATCCCACCTACCTTTCCCAGCCGCACCCCTCCTCTCTCTCTTTATTCCTGAGCTCCCTTCCCCCCCCTCCCCCATTTCTGAAGAAGGGTCCAGACCCAGAACATCAACTTTCCTGCTCTTCTGATGCTGCCTGGCCTGCTGTGTTCATCCAGCTCCACACTGTATTGTCTCTGACTCCAGCCTCTGCAGTTCTTGCTATCTCTGCAGGACTTTTGTCGTAGTTTTGACTCTTGTTGTTGTTGGACTCTTGTTGGGGTCCAGGGCTATGGGATTATTGTTCTGGATGAAGGATGGTTCGTGGTGAAGTGATGGAGCAGCCAGTGGGATGGTGAGGGAGAGGCAGCAACAACTACATCTGGTTCTGATTCCAGTGAGGTCTGGCTGTACAGTTATGGCATTCGATAACACTGACTTCCTTTTCAAGTATGTTGGCAGAAGATGCATCAGTGCTGAAAATGATTCCCATTTCTGCCTGTTTAAAAATGGGAATTGCCATGAATGAGGTGGGATTTCTGATTTCTGTGTTGATCTTGATGAAAATCCATGCTATTGCCTAGTCGATAGTGTTTTTATTTATTTGTTAACAGTGTATGTTTTAGAATGTAAAATATTGACATTAATTTCCAGTTAATAGTTGAAATAAAATTTCATTTTTAGAATTATTGGTTCTCCATAGAAGTTGTAACCATGAACTTTGATTGTTCCACCATTGGCGTTCTCTTTATCAGGTACTCAATGCTGCTTTGTCCTGAGAAGATGTTGCTTGTTTGGCTAATACTAATAGGCAGATTTATGACTTTGAAACTAAAATTTGGTTTTGTCAGTTATTGTTCTAAGAAACATTTTATAATAGGTTATATGATTTAATTATAAATATTTGAGATAACAAGATGTAGAGCTGGATGAACACAGCAGGCCAAGCAGCATCAGAGGAGCAGGAAGGCTGACGTTTCGGGTCTAGGCCCGAAACG